AAAAAAAAAAACAGACTTACTCTGTCACCCTTGGGGCCAGGAGTTCCTGCAATTCCTCTTTCTCCCGGCATACCTTGAAGACCTGGCGGGCCTGTATCTCCAGGGGTCCCAGATGGTCCTGGACTGCCCTAAAATGACCATGCCAATATATCAGACCAAACAAGTGACCATGCCAGTATATTAGACTAAACCATGTGAAACTGCTGTTTTAGCAGCTCACAAATAGTTGAATGTCAGCAATTTCACATGGCTCAATTTAGTGCTTGTATTTTTCACTTGGGAAAATTGTCTCTGAGTTGATTTTTTTGAAATAAAATAATCTAATTTGGTTTTTTTGATTATTGGTTTATGTTTTTGACTTTTCCCTTTACAGAAAATTGAGCACCAGTTCAAGTAAAAATCATAGGGTTGCCTTTTTTTCTCTTCATTGGCAACATTACACAGTTACTGATAAAGAAAGAAGACACTAGTTTTAGAGGATTGTCTTTATTCTTTCTTTAATGAACCAGTGATATTAGGCTGGTTTTGAGGATAAGTTAGTGATTAAATTGAAATAGATCTTGTTCAGAGACTGGTCCCTGAAAAAGATAAGGAATCTCATGTTACATCATCATGAAAAGTTCTACTTCATTGTTTATACTGAATTTGGCCACATTATCTTCTGCCAATTAGGAAATGGCCCTCAAAAGGAAGAGGCACTGAGTTTTACCTTACGACACACTGTATTTTAAGATTTCAAAAACTACATATTTTCATATATGTAGTAAGCAGAACTGTGGAAAATGAGACAAGAAAAAAATGGTTCACGGGATTAGGGATGCCACCTAATAAATTATACAAGTTTCTATTTCTTGCCTCTTCTTATTCATGGAAGCCACTAATAAAACTTAAATAAATTAGCATTAGGTATGTGTTTGCATCTGGGAATCACCATGTGTACTAGTCCATATCCCCATCACAGAAATGGATCTTCTTTTTAGCCCATTCTTTAGTGCCAAGGAAAAAGCCTAGTAGGCACATTAAATATTTATTGAAGAAGAGGGTAATATAATGAAATTATCTGCAAAACAAAAGAAATGCATTCTAGGACCATCGTGTGTTTATCGAGCAGTAATTTTAGAATATTTAAAATTACCACGATCACTACTGTACTTACTTTGGGACCATCGGGACCATGTCCTCCAGCCATTCCCTTCTCACCAGGGAGTCCAGTTATTCCTGGTTCTCCTCTTTCCCCAGGATTTCCTCGTTCTCCCTAGCATAAAATTGGAATATCAAGCAAACTCAATTGATCTAAAAATGAGTTAAAAATATTTCTGCAAAAGGCTTCTCTTGAAGAAAAATTTAGAAATGAGCCACTGTTAAGGCTCAATTTTCTAATATGGGGATAAGAAATGAATTTGAAGAAAGGATATGCTGGTTTCACAGGACAAAATCTTTCTCATAAAACTGATTTTTATCCAGTTGAAGAATTTAATGGTTAAAATAATAAAATTAGATTTAAGATTAAAGATGCCTGTTTAAACTGAAGCCAGTGAGGAACAAAATTAATCACAAAGGAGAAAATACTTACTCTAGGTCCTAATGGGCCAACTGCTCCAGGATCTCCAGGAACACCCTGTAAACACATTTTTAAAAGATGGAACAAAAGCTTTGAGTTAGCTCTTAGGCATTTATTATAAATCTTTCCAGATCATACACATAATTTCTTCTAATGTACCATTAGAAGAGTGAATAACACCACAATATTGAAGAAAGAAACATATGTGTGCTTTTCTAAATGAAAAAATATCACACATATTGGATGGAAACATTTTTACCAGAAAAATTTTATTATACATGAGTACTTGATTTTTGGCAATGAGAACATGCAAAATATTATCTCACAAAGACAGTGCATTAGTTTTTTTAGAAACAATAAAATATACGCTAAATGCCTTTTATTTCCTAATGGCACATGAAAAAGTTTAAGTACAGGAAAGAAATGTAACAAGCCATTAAGAGCCAATCTTTTAGAAAGAACCAATTTAATTGTATCCAATTTAGGAAATCTTTCCTGAGCCTATAATATGGACAAAGCACTCTACTAAGAATTGTGGGTTTAAACTAGTGCGGTCATGTCTACATTAAAAGTTTCTGGGGTTTTTTTGTAACTTAAGGAAAAGTTGTCATTTCAAAACTTCTCTGTTTGATAAGATGACGAATTTATCAAGTAGGCCCCCAGTCTTATCTCCTGAAATTGATTATCCTCATTATGGCATGATCTTCCTTAAACCCAAATCTGATTGTATTACTCCCTCCTTAAAATCCCTTCATCATCTTCCCATTACTTTAATGATGAAGAACAAGTTAGATCCAGATTAAGACCCTACATAATCTGGCCCCTGATCCACCCCTCCAGCCTCCTCTCCACCGTCCTCAAATTGGACTGGTCACTTCTAATTTAGTGAGCTTTTTTCACTGCCTTAAATTGATC